AAAGCTCAGTCCAGAGTCATCTGCTTCCATCGATTCATAGTAGGTTACATTACCCATAGGTTACATCTATCATGTTCATGACTACAGTTGAATATAAATACGGCTCATAGATTGCCACAAAGCTCAGTCCAGAGTCATCTGCTTCCATCGATTCATAGTAGGTTACATTACCCATAGGTTACATCTATCATGTTCATGACTACAGTTGAATATAAATACGGCTCATAGATTGCCACAAAGCTCAGTCCAGAGTCATCTGCTTCCATCGATTCATAGTAGGTTACATTACCCATAGGTTACATCTACCCATTATAATATCTATGAGGGGTTGCTATATTTTGCAATTGCAAGTACGAGCTTATTACTAAAGAAACTTTAATTCGAAAATATTGTCAGTACTTCCAACGATGGCCGGCTTATAGTCTCTAGTAATGGGTTAGTTCGATCTAGGAAGGACCACGCTCTCGCAGAATACCAAAATAGCAGTTTAATGCTGTGGTGTTTACTGGTGTGGTTACTGGTGTTTGTGTGAACCGGAGACCCTTTTGACTAAAAACGAGGCATTGCATCTCAGTCGTCAGGAGTGACAACGCATCTGCCTTTGGATTATTAATTGAAGATGGGGCCGTGGAAGGAAAAGGGGAGATCTCCCGCCGGGCAAGGTGTTCTGCCCGGGGAGCAGCCAACGCTCCGTGTGATAGTTCGGAGAAGTTCTATATATATTGTCCATGATTCGGAATGTTAATAGCGCGATTTAGGCGTCGGTGTGTTTCGGTGTGCTAGTGGCGCGACGACAGCGCCGCTACATCACCCCCCTGCTCAGACCGGAGGTCGATAGTGAAGTCTCGTTGTCGACGAATGTGCAAGTGCCAGGAGATTGCCTTGTAGTCGGCGGTGAGTCGAGAAGAAGGCAAGTAATCTGCGAGAGTGCCGTGAAGCAGAGGCGAGCTGTAAGGCTCAGAGCCGTGCCGAACACTGTATGGCGCAGAGAGTAGCTTGAAGGAAAAGGAAACATTATTATTCCAGTGCTGCGATGAACCTTGTGAAGCTAGATGGCTTGCAGGATATGAAGACTGCAGACGATATCTGCTCGGGAGCGAATGGGTGGGGTATTCTATGACGATGATGAAGCTTGAAGTTTCCGAAGGTTGTTTGGTTGCGTGTTCAGATCACGTCGGGGTCACCACTGTGGCCGTGGTAGGAAAAGGGGAGATCTCCCGCCGGGCAAGGTGTTCTGCCCGGGGAGCGGCCGACACTCCTTGTGATAGTTCGGAGAAGTTCTATATAATATACTGTCCATGATTCGGAATGTTAATAGCGCGATTTAGGCGTCGGTGTGTTTCGGTGTGCTAGTGGCGCGACGACAGCGCCGCTACAAAGATAAATGTAGAGTCTGTAGGCCAAAGCGTACATGCTTTACATGTACGCTTACATATGTACATGTGTACATGTTTTTTTACCATCAGGTAGACTGAGTGCTAGATTATCACCCTTATACTATAAAAACTAATACAATAATTTTAAACACTAAAGGCCACAGTTACCCATACATATGAAATGCTTCAATACCTGTAATCAGTCTGATTCCCCTCCCTTAAAATCGGAATGCAGCAGAAACTGCACTGCAGTGGAGCAGCAAAAATTAGGAGTAATAGTACCGACCAAAATGAACTATAAGTAGAAAAGGAATTAATTCTACTACATGGAATTTTTTCAGAGGTTAGTGACGATTATTTGATAATATATGTAATAGTTTTTGTACCTAAATTATATAGGTTTAATTGGTTTGTTTTTATTTTCTTTGGGGCTATTTTCACGAATTCCTAATTAATTTTTTCCATTTAATATTTAAATGCTTATTCTAAGGAACTATTAGTATTTCTTATAGGAATGATGTTTTGGGCATACACTGCAATATTCTCTTAGTTTATACGTTATAACATGCTGCACTACTTTAATATTGAAACTATTCAGTTTAATTTTGAATCAATGTATTTTAGCAACGCAATACTAGGTTTGCATAAAATTTTGTGTCCAGGGAGTTTCGGGGGCAATAAATCGATTTAGCTAGGATTTATTTTTAGAAAATGTTACAATATAAGAAGGTAAATTTTGACATTGCGTTAATGATCGTAATAGCTCAAGTGGATATCGAGTGGTCGCGAAGTCGTAATGCCTTGGTTCGCGTCCGGTCTTCGGTCCGACTTTTTTCCTTTTTTTTTTCAAGTTTCCTTCTTTTGTGAGAAAAACTATTATTTCGAGCCCTTTTTTCTTTTTTTAATTAAACTAATTGCATAAAAAAATTTAATTAAAATCGAGCAAAGCTCGGTCATCCAGGTACTTATTTGTATATAGATGAACTTTTTATACAAGTAAGGCTGACAAACGGGCACACATTTCTGAACTAAGGAGTCCCTTTTTACTGGAAATAAGGCATTCTATCTAAGTCTCTAGGTGTGGCAACGCATATAAATCTTGATTCTTAATCAAGAACAAATGTAGGTGTCTAAGAGACACAGGATCGATTTACCATCAAGTGTACTGTGTAATTGTTTATCGTTCTTATTCTATAAAAAAATGATAAAAAGGCTCTCCTGTTTACGTCACTCGCCATACGAAGCACTGCAGTATTAATGCTATTTTATGCTGACATTTTGTAAGAGCTTGGTCCTTTTTTTGTCAAGCCGATCCACTCTTGCTACAGACAAATACTTTTACGAAGGCTTTACGAAGTATAATTATTACAAAAAAGAAGCACATGTTCAATGCCGAATTCAAATACGTTTATTAATAAACGGATAACTAAAAAAAATTAAAATTTTATTTAAAAAACTGAAAATTTTATAACTGTTTAACCTGTAGATGACGATAAGAAGAACTTAGGCTGTGATTTAGTGTCCTTTTTTACAAAACCTCCGAAAAAGAACAAAACTAAGATTTTATGATTTAAAAATGTCACGTTATAACATATGTAAATAAATTTTCTTATGTGCGACTACAAACGTAACGAAACAAAGGTTACCTTTATTAAAAATATACGGCTTTCAAAACTGCGAGGTAAATCACGCTTGCTACAAATTAGGTGCAGAAGACGTGAATCCGTGACTGGGTTTTAAAAACTTTTCCTTACACAGATGGGTTCATCACAAAGTAGGTATTATCAAAATTCTAAAATATTGAAATGTTAATATTTAATATTTGTAAAGGTAAATAAACCACCTACCGTGTAGTGATGGTGTAAGAATATTCACAACTACAAAATAAAGGAACTGCGATTGCTAACCTGTCAAGCGTGTTAACTAAGGCAAATCCACCCCCCACTCCCCCACCCCTATGAGGCAAATTATGGAGACGTCTATGATCACCAGTGGTATTTAATGGATGGATGAATGGATAATATAAAACTATTTGCTGCTAAGGATGAAATATCATCAGCTATCATCATTATTACTGCCCATCACAAGTCAATTTTTTTTATTAAACTTAGGACCATAAACAAGTTCATAATTATCAACTTATCTAATGTAATTACTACACATTTTTTTATTATTTTTAACTCAGCAACGCTGGTCACTTACTTAAGCATAACATTTTTTCAATTATAGATAAAGCTTGTTACAGAGTATAACTTGACATTGACAATATCTTGTTATTCTTAATCTAGAAGTAAAATCTAAACACAGTATCGACTAACAAATATTGTAGGGTTATGGTAGGATATATGACACCACTGCTCATTAGTTTTTTTTAAATGGTCGTGTCATATATTCCATTATCTACTCATTGAGTACTTGTTTAAATTTTTCAGTGACAATTTTCTTATAATTACCTCGTCCAATGGCATTAATATCGATATGATTAAAATTCTCATTGTACGAGTGCATCATAGGTGATAAAGCGGACCTTCGTCCCGCGTTAGTTCGGCATAAATTAATACAAAAAAAGAAGTTCATAGCTTAAATTGCAATGTGTATATTTACAGGAACCATTTCAACGCACTTTCAAACCTCCCGTAAAACTATTAACTTTTAGACCTATATACTTGTAAATTTTATTCACGCCTATTAAGGACTCCTGGTATAAAGTAGAATGAATGATACATGAATAAGCCCTATTATATTTCTTGACATATTGAGGTCTGAAAAGTGCTATTTTTCTCACTCACTGACTTACTCTTCTAAAACCTTGGCCACTTCTAGGTAACTTAAAGTATCAGGTAGTAAGTAGTAGTAGCAATAAAGTATATTTGGTATCAAGATTAAGATATATAAAGGAAAAATTCTAAAAATTAAAAATTATTACAGACAGAAGATAGACAGGCGACAAAGTTATTGGTGCGAATAAATGGAACTATCCGAATCAAACTTTTATAGTTTAAATTAAAAATAGAAAGCAGTGATATGTAACGCTAGGAATAACTGAGAAGGTCACATTTTTGTTTGGATTAATAAAATGATAAAACTTTTTTCAAAAATTTATGATATCCCATCAGAAACATAAATGTGAAAAAGGTGCTAAGGTCGGTACAAACGACCGAACCGACACTTAACCGTCGCGAACTTGGCCCCATTTTCACATTTATTTTTGTTGGGATATTACCTTACAATGAGAACAGAAAAATCCACGCATAACCTTCTCCGTAGCTCACAGCATAACATGGCTTGCAAAAGATATCACCTACTAAAACGGTTGCGGGTTAATGGAAAATTGAAAATCTAAATAATTGTGACGTTCCGCGGAATGGCCAGCGCAATTTTTTATTATTTTTGGCTGTAAACAAGAAGATGCTGCGGCCCATCTCTTGTTTCAATTTTCCTCTGCCGCCTTAACACCCGCGGGACGATATGGGATAGTGGATATTCTTACAACACCACTACACGGTCAGTATTAATGTAATTTTGAAGGTATTTACACAAATTAATAATTAAAATTTAGGGCGTTTCAGAACTGACCTGTGTGTGAGCCGCGCAGAACTCTGGCGTAGGTTGCCGAAATGGGCTATGCACTGGGCACGATGCCGAGTGTTGCGCGTGTGCCATGTGGTGAGCGTGCGCGTGCTGATGTGCGTGCGGGTGGTGCACGTGAGAGGGATGGCGGTGCGCGAGGCGCGACGGCTGGGACGCATGGCGGGCGCAAAGGTGCGTAGCGCTGCCATGGTGCTCCGCGAGAGACAGCGTCGAGCAAGACGGCCGCCAGTAGCCGCCCTCCTCCATGTCAGGTCCTGGGGGACATCGCGCTGCGCCACAGCACGCGCAGCGCCTCGAGCACGTCAGCGCATGTCGCCGCGCCTCGTGCGGGCACCAGTCCTCGCGCTCGCGGCCCGACACCCTTTCCACGCGTCGCTACCGTTCCCGCTAGTGTCTCCGCCGAGCGGATAGTCGCCAGCCGCGCATGGTCTCATTCGCAACGGATAAACACAAGCACTTCGAGTACGTTTATAGTATACACTTTTAAAAATTATTACTTACACTGATTCTATGACGTAATTACGATTTTAAGAAATTTATAAGAACAATACTGTTCTGCCCGCTCGTTAAATAAAATAACAAATTAAGTGTGCAATGTCAACCATCTCGAAAGTAAATTATTTTTGTTGCTGGTCTTCTGTACCATATAAATTACTTAAGTTAATGAATGAATACAATTGGTTATAAATAAATGTAAATAAAATAAGATTAAATAAAAATAATTATAAAATATGTAATTACTACGTACTTTTGTATATTATAAGATTAGTCTAATATTATTAGCTATATTCAATGTATCCTAAAATCTTAGCATGCAAACATATTTATAGATATTTATTATTTATATGTATGCATACTACTACGAGTATATAAGAGTTAATGAATAATTAGTGATCATTATATTTTGAATACAGATTTTATTTCCCCCAAAATCAACGACGTGAGTTCTTGAAGCTTTCTCTGTCCCTTATATTATAGATTTTCGTCATCATACTATCATATCTCAACATATCCGCCACAAAATGCTGTGAAATCTGTTATAATATTACCTCGTATGCGTTAAAATTTCCATTTCTGGTAATAATAATATTTTCTGGTAATCGATTGATTTGTTTCGTACCCAATTAAATCTTTTTCGTTACCATAAAACTGATAAGGAATAAAAATTGGCACGATAGATATCAATTCACGTAGAATGACTCGCATTTAAATAAAAATAAAAAAGATATGCAAATTCATTCAACTAATTGGTGTTTCTTTAGCAACATTCTAATTGGTGTTTAATTTTAGTTCGTACATACGAGAGAAGTCCAAAGTAAGGGAATTAAGGGGAAGGAGTGGGAACAGATTCTTAGTACAGAACTCATCATAAGTATAAAATATTTCACTTGTTTACCTAACACCTCGTTCCTTTACATGCAATTGTGTAATTCAGACAAGTCGATCCTGAAGATAACCCCAACTATTAGAGCAAATAGAGCTTCGCGCTGTCACGAAATCTCTAAATAAGCAAGCAAAATACGTTCACATCATTGTTTATGGAGATTAGTGCCTATACGACACGTAGATGATCGTTTAAAAATAATCTATGTACGTTATTATTCCAATAATAGAATACAAACAAAATAAAACTTATTTTTATTTCTAATAACCTACCCAGTTTAGTTCGCTACACTTTATGTGAAGACCTTTATGTATTTCTTTTATTTAATAAAAATTTGAAAACATTAATTTGTAAGAGCTTTCTTTGAAAGCTCTTAAAAATTAATATTTCAACATTTGTATTTATCCTAATCCATTAGTTTAATACATATATATGGCAATATGGTTTAGAGTTGCTGCCAGAACTCGGAACAAATAATACGGAATATAGACCGCTGACTGCTGCAATTCAATTTAGGTCACTGGGTCGTCAGTTCGGACTCGTTGTCATACAATGAGATATCGCTGCAGTATTGGACGCTTTTACATCAGTCTCTTCCTTAGCTTGTTACTTCGACTAAGATAACTAGTCTTTAAGATATGAGTAAGACATTTAACAAAAATTCATCTATATTCAATATATATATAGCAAGCGCCAACAATATTTTTTAAATAAATTAATAATGCTTTTATAACCTGTTATGTACATAATTGAATCTAGATCCGTTATATATAGCTTTACTTCCTAATCAAAATTGACGAAAAATATTGCCATCGGCACAGCTGAACTCGACAATGAAAATAAATCAGCGCTCAGTGCGTGCTCCTGCATCGTAAAACCTTTATATGTTGTTCACATAAGTTGGAAAGTCGTACATGGCCGCGTTCACTCTATTCCCGACAAGGGTTCAGTCAACAAGCTTTGATAGAATCATAATACGGTATAAGGGAAACTCTAGGTCATCAAATATAAAACCATGCGGGTATGCGTCCCTTATTTGTTTAAGTTCAAAATAACAAATATTAGAAGTATCTTGTAATATATACTAGCGATCGCACGAGTGATTTCTGGATATGTTAGTCAAAACTCAACCGATCGAAACCACTTTTGATTGCGAAAATCAGCCAAAATTAGTTTTGACTAAGGGCATTGGTCTCTACTTTTGGCTTATACTTTTTGATTTTTAAATAACATATTTCAATCCTGTCAATATTATATTTATATTATTATAATGTACTCGACTTTAAGGAGGCCCAAGGAACATCTATACCACACCCTATCCTACTGTCAAAAAGATAACATGAACAACTCAACAGGAACTGAAGAACCAATGTCAATGTCGTGAATTTGTTAGTGGACTTTTTTTAATTTTTTTTAAAGTTATTCTACAGATTTATATCTTAGGTCTTCAATGTTTTTTTGTTGTTGCATTAATTGCACAACAGTTGCGATCCGTTACCTTCACCACATAACCATATTCCACAAATAACATGAACATTTCGTCTACTCACGCGTGCTTCTATACACTCAGTTTACAAGTATAATTATTTCACAAGAGTAGTCCAGTAAGATAGTTGTATTACAAGATCGATAGTTATGTTATTAGTAAGACAGATAGGGACCGCTGTCATATAACTACTTATGATACGGTATATAGCTATATAGGGGTGTAATTATATCACGGCTTCAAGCGTCTTACTGCGACATATATATAAAGATACCATAATTTTTAAAGGCATAATACAAAAATAATACCATTTTATGAATTATGTTAAAGTTAGTTTACTAATACGTGTACTTCTCCAGTCATAATCAATTTTGATTAACACCTAGTAAGTAACTAGCAACGCTGATTTCTGGTTGGCGTTCCTGCCGAGTTAGGACCGGTTTTATAGCGCTTTTCATGAATATTGCCAGTACTAATCCACGGTTTAGAATGCTAAGTAAGTAGGTACCTAATAAAAATAACGAAAATTTTCCATTTCAAATGGTCTAATGGCAAAAACTTTTTCAAAGATTTTTTAAAAAAGATTTTCGAAATTATTCTGGACGATAACGATAGCCGATGCAATACACTCACAGCGTATGAGACGTACCAATGAAGCTACTCGTACGAACATTACGAAGCTTGAACGCCTACAATGGTCACGTTAACAAAAATAGACGAAGCTATAGCGTACAAACACTTGCTGAAGAGCCAACTGCATGAACGCGGAAACAGAAAAAAACAAATTCTGGTGGTAAAAAGATCCTAAGAATGTCGTTATTTAAAAATAGAAGCCAGATCAATGTAAAAATTTAATCGGCGCGTCCTTAAGTTGAATCCAGATTCAAAGCTTCTTTACGTGGTAGAGCCATGCTGCAGCTATATTGTGGTTGTAGCACCAATGGGTCGGCTCGACCGGGGAAGGACCACGCTCTCACAGAATACCAGCGTACAATAGCAGCCTAATACCGCTGTGTTTTGTATGGTGAGTGTAAAGATCCGGAGAACCTTTTTTACTGGAAACAAGGCATTCCATCTTAGTCCTCAGGGGTGAAAACATATTTGCGTGTTGATTCTTAATCGAGGATAAATGTAGATGTCTATGGGCCACAGCATCTACTTACCATCAGATGGACTGTGTGTTCGTTTGTAACCCTTATTCTATTTAAAAAAAACTCACTTTGGATAAACGTAGATACTGCAAAAATATTAAATAAGTAAGTACTAACAAATGTTAGTTTCCATCACATGGATCGCATAGGCATCTACAACTATCCTCAGTTAAGAATCTAAATGTAGATTCGATGGATGAAACCTGTGAGGGTGAAGATGGAATGCCTTGTTTTCAGTAAAAAGTGTGTCCGATTCTTTACACAAACCATACGAAACACAGAAGCGAAAAGCTGCCAATTTAAGCTGGTGTTTTTTTTAAAGAATATTAACAATGCTATAAACATTACTAATATTCCCCTTAGCTACTCATGGTAAGCTTAAATTGCTTGTGTTACGAGTGATTAACGCCAGTAGTCGAATGGTGGATTCGAACCCACAACCTTTTTGAGTTCGCGGTGCGCGCCCTGCCATTAGGCTACTGTCGCTTTGAAACTCGTTTTGTGAGTTCATTCTCCCGGTCGAGCCGACCCATTCATGCTACAACCATAACATAGCTGCGGAATGGCTCTACCACGTATATTATTAGTAAGGTCTCCTTTACAAAAAGAGTTTGCCTACGGGTTTTCTCAACTAAGGACAGAACGACACTTCTGTCCAAGCCTGTCTAGGTACCCTTTTACTAATATCTGTCGCTAAATAGCAGTGCAAGCACTGATATATTCCGGTGTGAATCGTAAAGGAAGTCAGTATATACAGGCGGTAGCCTTCTTTGTTTGAAGCTAATTGCAGGTATAAATGGCCTGCAATAGCCACTTACCAGCAGGTGGGACTGGTAGTTCGTTTCAATTAATTTGTTTACATGTATCACACTAGGAACAAAATTGACAAACACGTAATCAAAACCCTACTAACATGCTTATCATGTGCCCCCCCCCCTCCTCCTCCTTCCTACTATACCTTGAAGCCCAGTTGAAAAAGTTTAAATGAATTTTTTTTTGTTGTGTTTTCAAAAAGTTTGAAAAAGTTGCAAGTTCTTGACAACAATTTTATATATCAACAATAATTTACAACTGATTAAGAATTTAGTTCTAAATTAATCATCCAAGACCTTATCTGATCATTATTCCATGTCAAAGAATAGAATCAGGTCAGGGTCACATAAGATTTAGATTTGAATTAAATTGACCTCAAAAGTTGAATTATTCTCTCATTACAGCCTATCGAAAACCACTGTTGATATAGTAAGGTAAAAAGTTACACACTGCTGGGCACAGGCCTCCACTCATTTCTGAAAGGGTTTTAGAGCAAGGAATTGTCCGCCACGCTGCCTCAATGCGTGTTGGCGAACTTCACGTGTCTTCGAAATATTTTTTTTTCTTATTTCTCTGA